CTTCTACGGGGACTAGACGAAGGCTGGGGTTCCACCCCTATGTTGTGGATATTCCCAGGAGTTGGACGAAGCCCTTCGCTTCCACATTTATATGGCTAGAGAGTGAAATTCCCTGTTCGCGGATTTTGTTCCCAGAACGATCTAACTTGGACATTTTCAAGGCGAGAGTGAATAGGCATTATTTATGTGTGCGTGCTACATCGTCAACCCCATCGTCACTTTCCATCTGATGAGATGGAGGTCAAATTCACACTTATTTTTGTATAAAAAAACGCAACTTATAACAATTTTTAACCAGTACACCTTGGCTTAAGGCCGTTAAAAGGATATGACGAGCAACTGGTTATCTATTTAGTAAATCTACATAATATCTAGATACGAATCTATGTCAATGTTATGCTTTATTACTTATAGCCATAAAGTCAGCACCCATAAGTAGGTTCAAGTAGAACCGATATGTTCAAGTAGAACTGGCTTATAAATAAATGTGCGACATTTCCAATGTATGCGGCCATAGCAGTGTGGTGTTTTAGTAGCAGAAGAGCTTCATAAAATAGCTCGTCCAGGGGAGTACTACCATCTTACCTATTTCTGCCGTCAAGCAGTAATGTGACTGTGTTCCTGTTTTGAAGGGTATGGGTGCTGGTGAAATTACAGACACGTGGGACTTGTCAACTTATGTCTCAGGGTTACTGGTGCAGTGGCAGTGCCCTTCAGATTTTTGCGAATTAAAGCTCTAAGTGGCACTGCAACTGTTATGAACGGGCGTGTAGCTTACCATCAGGCGCACGACTGGTTCGTCCCGTCACTTGATATTATAAAAAAAAACTAGATTCTACAACATAGGTTCCAATTTATTTTAAACTAGCATTCTTACTTAATTATCATAAATTACTTATTTTATACTAAATTATAAGTAAGTTCATTATTTGACATGTCCGTTAGTAATAACTTCCATAAACATCAGATCGCGTACTGTTTAGTCGCTGAGGTATACAAGATTTCGCACTCACAATAATAAAGTGACACAATTCAAAGTAACATTTTTGGGCAACCGATAAATTAAGTTCAAAAAATTTACGGACAAAATAAAACTTACACGTGTATTATTTTTCATATTCAATAGAATTTACGTATGTTATTTTTTTACTTTTTTTTCCAATTTTCTAAAATTTATCGAATTTCAACGTCTTATTGAACATGAAATCGGAACACAGGAAATATATTACATTGCTTTACATTGAATAAATAATTTCTATTCTATTCTATTCTATATTTTTTACGAGTATTCCAGTTATAGAGACTAGAGATGAGCACTGATTATAAAATCGACGTCAGCGTCTGATGGTTTGTACCAACGACGGCATTATCGGCGTGAAATCGGACTGGCATGTATTTCTTAAGCGTTTAAAAGAAAACTAAAATATTGTTTAAATAATCCTTTGTATTTCTTTTTCACTTTCACTTGAAAGTTACATTACAAATAATGTAGAAACATAATAATCAACTTAAATAGTGCTTATAAAAAAATCTCATAATAAATAATAATATATAGGCGGTGCGGCACGGCGGTGCAACACGCATGTCTAGTAGAGCTTTTTAAATCAGGCCTTCTAAATGTTTTAAAAATGTCTTTTAACTAAATCTTTGCTAGTAAAATATGTATACGAGAAATACATAAACGTTTACTACACAAAATTATTCACTAAACGATTATCACTAGCTAGACAGGCTTCTTATCTCGGTATGACTTTTTATGGTAACGCTGCAAGAAGTCAAGATTAGGGTAGTCGTTGAAAGCTAAAGAGTACCCTCTTCCACTTGACAGATATGTTTGTTCGTAAAACCGTCAACTGCCGCTGTTCAGTCAATCCGTAACCATAGAGCGCGTAATTGCTATAGCACATGTGAATAAGAATAAAATTTACAATTCGTTCGGGAAAATACTACCACCTTACCTATTTCTTCCGCCGAGCAGTAATGTGAGTGTTACTGCGTTTTGGTTTTAAAGTGTAAGGTTGGTGGTGAAATTGCTGACATATCTTACGGCTTATCAACTTGTGTCTCAGAGCAATGTGCGCAGTGACATTGCTCCTCAGATCTTTGCAATTTACAGCTCTGGTTGGCACTGTAATTTCTATGGACAGGTATGTCGCTTACCACTTGTTCGTCACCTCATTCTACGTCCCACTTTTGGGCAAGAGCCTCCTGTAAGGAGAAGGTGTAGTCCTCCACGCTAGTCCAATGCAAGCTGGGGACTTCACACGTTGTGAATCTTCTTCACCACTCAGGTTTCATCACTATGTTTACCTTCAAGGTTTCCGAGAGGCAATTGCTACAGAACACAATTTTCGTAACTCGAAAAAACTTGGGGTGCGTACAAATCTGGTGAATACGCTGCATATTGTATTGAATTTTTCCTCCTTCTTAATAATGGTGTTGAACACTAATCCGAGAATTACCGTGGTAGAGATTTCGAAACATCGATTCCACAACAAAGTCGTCGCCAATAAGTCTCTACTTTTCGCTCCACTGAGTTCAAGGCAGTTATCTGGTATTGGGCAGAGCCGTCCTAAAGGTGGAATTCACTAGATATTCACATGAAACCGCAATAGTCCACTCCTGGGCATATTCGTTTCATAAAATGAATATATTCTGCCATTTCGAAGCAGGAAAGGCCAGAGAAGCAACAAGTTAATCCTAGATGATTTAGAGTGGTAAACCACAAAGCATGTATTGTTTAATTTACTACAAATAAATAAATAAACCAAATAAAATAATTATTTTCTTAACTTGTTTCCAGTGGAGCTACAATTGTGATTGAGTTATCGTGTTTGTGCATAATGATAATGACCTTAGCGGCGCGCGCGCATTTCCGCGGGCGACGACCGCCGGCCGGCGCAGCGCACGCGCACTTAACCTTGTCCGCATCATAACTTGCATGCTATTATCTCGAGTACGGCCAAGCTAAATGAAGTTCATGTTGCAAATTAAATTTTCTCACTTCTTTTTTATTTATTTTTTAATGAAAGAATAATATTATGCTGGATCAAAAAAGATAATTTCCCAAATTGGTCTTACCGGGAATCGAACCCGGAACCGCCTCGTTCAGCGCTCGCAGTACAAATCGTTCAGTCACCAAGGCCGTGAAGTTTACGTGTCTAATTACCCCGTGCGCATTACTAACGCACACCTGGTTATCTCACATGTTATCTGAATGTTGGTATTACCCAAAGTACAGTTTAAACGTTAAGTCGATTTCCACAAATTAGATGTTAGATTTGTACTTTTGGAAAAAGTAAACTGAGCGGCCATTGGTTTTTACGTTTGATATTGTTTATTACCGACGCTACCACTTCACAGAAATAACTTGCTACTGGAGACGAAATAAGGGCCATCCATCCCTGGCAAGTCATCAGGCAAATGTCCCTTATATCACTTCTAAATACCAAATCTTGTTTGCGCTGAAATCACAAATTAGAAAGCTGAAATAGTACAGCGCCTACAACTGACCTGTCTGTACGTGTATTCCAAAACTAATCTGTATTTATCGTAATGAAGATAATATCATTTCGTCTCTATTTCTGTTTATATACTCGATGCTAGTAACAAACGTAAAAACTGCCCGCTGTCAACCGCCATATTAATAGTCACATATTTGACATACAAACCATAAAATTAATTATAAGCACCAAAAAACCCGACAAGAATTCAAAGAGTCAAAAAATAAAAAATAATTGGCCACTAAACAAGGTTTTAAGACTTAAAGATCATTCTGCTTCCGTTTGAAATAAATTTACAGAAAAAACATCGACAGTTAATCATTTAAGGGTTTCAAATACAAATTAACCGGTTTAGTAATAGGAAAATTATGTACCTGTAATCAGTGATAGGAAAAACCAGTGCAACGGTCACGCTTGTGTGTTTTTGCGCATGGGTAAGTAGGCGGTTAACACTTAACGTGCCTAAAAACGTGTTGTTCGCTTTCGTGTCGTCGCAAGTAAATAAAATCAACAAAATGCACGTGTCGTCGTCATAGACTTCTATTTACTTATTAGTGAACATCACATACGTTGGCTCCGATCCCAAAGTAAGTAGCTAAAGCACTTGTGTTATGAAAATCGGAAACAACGACGGTACCACAAACGCCCAAACCCGAGACAATATAGAAAAGTTAGTTTTTTTTTCACGTGATGCGGCTAGGGATCGAAACTAGGACCTCAAAGATGACGACACCATGAAAACCGGTGTGCAAGCCACTCGACTACGGAGGTTCTATACTAAATACGTTTAGTGTACAATTTCATTTATTTGATACCGTGTTAATAATTGTTATATATAAAAATGTATATAAAACAAACGACAGTAGGGAGAGAATCGTTTCTTCTCAATAGAGGGTAGACATTTTTCCTCTCGCTAACTATGGAGGAAAATATCAAACATCAAGAAGGCAGCCCTTGGAAAACATGTCAAGTCCCCAACCTACCTTGGGCCACCGTGATTATGGCCTAAACGCTCTTTTTGGAAGAGATCCGTACGCAGCTGTGAAACATGTAATGACGATGATGAACTCCATGTGAAAGTTTCATCCCGGGAAGTACTGCCACCTTGTCTATTTTTGCCGCCAAGCAGTAATGCTCGCATGAGTGCGTTCCGGTTTTGAAGGGTAAGGGTGAAGTTACAACAACATGGGACTAGTCAACTTATATCGCAGGATGACAAGCGTAGTGCCTCTCAGAGATTTAAAGTTCAAAGTGGCACTACAACTGTTATGGACAAGCTTGTCGCTAAACGCCAGGCGCACGACTTGTTCGTCCCGTCACTTGATGTTATAAAAATAACAAAGCAACAACTCTAGTAATTCTTGTACTAGGCTTTCGGATGACGCAGAATCTGAGCGTGTAGATGGAAATACATAATATTTGCATCCACACTCACGCAATGTCTTTTTATCTGCGCAAGCGCAAGGTCAAGCGACCATTATATATACAAGAAAGAAAACAAGTAACTATGTAACGGTAATACTATTATTTATACCTTTTACTGAATATTTCTACAAAGTAAATTATCACAAACACCGACTAGGTCACTAATTTCAAAGCGCCAAAAAAATCATTTGCAATTCGTTTCTTTCATTCACTGGAGTTATTGTTACACAAACAGACATTTAAAATATTACTTAATACAATCACAACCGCCATTCAAAGTATACACAACCAATTCGAATGTCGCTCATGATTAAATATATTTAATTAATGGAGGTCTATTGTCTCTGGCTACCCCAGTGACTGTTACGTACGCTTTTAAAATATTTATTGTAAAACACAAAAAAGGAATCTGTGTCAATTTCGTCATTAATTTCAGTCATTGTTTAAGACCACTTTTGATTTGATTCTTAGTTGGTATATAGGTAACGTCAACGTATAGACGTAAACGATGGTTTGATACGGATATAACGCCTATAAAATATTAATCAGCTCTTCTGAACAATTATACAAAATAATATTAATGTTATCATAATAACACTTAATCGTCTGGCGATAATTTGAAAAAAAAAACTAAAATGACACAAATGAGATCTGCATAAATTATGTTTGTTTATTCACTTTATATAGACGCAAAAAACGTCGTCCTGAATATTGTCAAAATAACTTTACGTTTTGTGTACTTTAAACCGTTTATTCTACGATCTACTGTACCTTAACAAATACTCATTTATTTTAGGGAACACTGCTTCATTCGTGTGCCGACTGTACGTCATATCTAAATGATTCCACAAAGGGTCACTGACCTCCACTGCCTCTAACACATTGGGCAGTTTTCTTAAAAGCCACTTTACGTCCTTAACGTCCACTAAATAGTCATTTTTGCCATATAAAACCACAGCGGGTACTGTTACAGCACTCAAATTGTATGATGGAGGTTTTTCGCTGCCATAAAATTTTATATTCCACGACTTTCCGTAGTCGAATTTCTTGAAATCCCTACTTTTCATGCTTTGTCCGTATCTGGCGAAATTTTTCAACGAAGTTCCAGCCGGGAAGTGACCAAACAAAACCTGTGTTGTTTTGTTAGTAATCGATCCAGGGTGATATGAATCCAAAAGAGCTATAAACTCTCCACAAATGTTATTGGACAACGTACTCGATTGGCACAAATATGCCATGAACTCTTGACTTAACGCACCCTTGGAAAACACTTCTCGAATTCCGGAGAAAGTAAAATAAATTGAAAATCTCTCCATTATACCACATAAAGCCCTATAAGCAACAGACCTGGTATGAGTTTGTCTAGAAGCTGGCGCTAAACCAATGAACAAATTCACTTTGTCACAAAATCCAGGTCTTTCAGAGCACATGATAAAAAAGCTACCAGATCCTTGAGAATACCCTATATAGTTCACCTTTTTGGAGGATGTCTTCTTTAACACATATTCAATTGCGGCAGGTATGTCGTACAATCCTATTTCGTCTACAGAAAATTCCCAGAACTTTTCGTCCTTGTCGGGGTTTAAGGTTGTATGTCTTCGGCCGTAGTAGTTACCTCTCTGGTTTCCTACCCAAAGGTCGTAGCAAGCATCGGATAATAAATACGCTAAGCCTGCACGAGGGCCTGCGTCCAGCCAGCTGTCTGAACTCTGAAGCAATCCGTGCATTAGGAGTACCGGTGGTTGTCTTCTTTTCATACAATTCCGTCCCTGTATCCTGAACATTGATAAAATATATCCATCTTCAGTTATCACATTGTGTTCTTCAGATATATAACCATATTTATAACTTAGTTGTGTGAAGTTTAGTAATGAATCTTTCGGATATCCAAGGGATTGTTTGGTTTCCGCCTTTATAGGTAATAAAGGTCTATACACATAGGTAGATACAACTACAATGGATATGAAAAGGATGTGAAGTACGTAGTGCCGTTTGAACGACATGTTGCGGACTGCGCTCGCGCAAGTTGTGGGGCGAGTATTAAAGGATAGAGGTGATACGCTCGTTTGTTTTGTTTGGAGTTTAATGTTTATTTTCATATTGGACAGTTTCGATAAAGGGTGACTGCGATAAAAATAATAAATCGGTTTGATAATTGTAGACTCCTGTACTTTTAGTTTTATTATATTCACAGTTCTATTTCTGTCTATAGATTCTTTTGCATTACTTCTTTTAATATACTCAAAATACTAAAATTTACAAAATATAACATTTCGAGGTGGAGAGAGATTGAAGGGCATAATAATGTGAAGGTACAAACTCCGAAATTCATTACAAATAACAACCTAAGTAAATGCCAATCTACAAAAACGTCTTCCAAAGTCACACTAAGGTCACAAACTGTATACACTCAAAAAGTGATACCACCACGTAGTAAATGATTTACTCCGTATTATTTATTCCATGATAATATTAAAGACATATTTCATAAAAACAATAGTATTAAATTTGTTCCTCGACCGAGCTGACATTCAGGCACGTCGATGTAGATTCTGTCTCTTTCAATTTACGTTTAATTAAACGAGTGCAATAAAGACGACTGTTTTAATCGAATCTGAACCCTCCAGTGTGCAGGTTAATAACTTTTTAACATTGACTCAGTCCAGCCAACAATGCTGTGTTAGCAAAACTTTGTTTTTACAACAAATGTTTTGCAAAATATTTACAGGGAATGTTTAATTGTTCTTTGTTTGTTTCTAAAACGGTACGAATTGGTTTTCGTAACGTCTCCTTTGTTTTAGATTTTCAATTTAACGTTAGTGGATACGTTGGATGTCAGCTCGGTCGGGGAACAAATTTAATACTATTGTTTTTATGAAATATGTCTTTAATATTATCATGGAATAAAAATAATACGGAGTAAATCATTTACTACGTGGTGGTATCACTTTTTGAGTGTATCTGATGAAAACTTTTTTGAAAATGTTTTTAGATTATTTCAAGCATAAATGTACATTAATATTTTCTTCTTACTATGAGCATATACGCCATGGGAAAAAACTCTCATTATTATTTTCATACGAACGACAATGTTTTAATGATTGTAGGTAAAACCCGGTCAGAGCCGGTTTTATAACCAGCAACGTAAGCAAGTGGCACGCACGTTATTTTTAAATCATATCTATACATGGTGAACCTGTATTTAGTAGCAACAGAGCTCCTTATTAATGAGTTCGTCTGCTCGTTATTACTGTGTTCCGGTTTTCAAGGGTTTGCTGGTAAAATTACAGGCACATGTGACTTGTCAACTTATGTCTCGGGGTGACGGGCGCAGTGGCAGTGCCCATCAGATCTTTGCGATTTAAAGCTCTAAATGGCACTACAACTGTTATGGACAAGCGTGTCGCTTACTATCAGGCGCACGACTTGTCCATCCCGTTGCTTGGAATCATAAAAAATCTAAATTATGACATATGGTGGAAAATTAAAATGTCTTTTAGGACATTGCAAATTTCCATCATCGATATAAGGGTAATAATTTCGCCGTTGTATCGAATTTTGAAATGTCGTAAGCAATGTGTTCCATTACGACAAATTATTCCTTACGACTTTTCAAATTTCCACAGTCGATATTGTATAAATTTATCTAACTGTGTGTGTGATGGTTATATAAAAAAATATAATAAAAAAATTTTAGAAAAATTTTTGTTGGACAATTATTATTTTCATCTTCGTAATTAGGTTATTCCAGTCAAGTATGTGGACTACTTTGGGTCCTTTAAAGTCAATCAAGTAAGTCCAGTGCAACAGGCACTGTTACGGCTCGAGCTGGGGCTCTCCCTATTTATTATTTATTTATTTAGTATATAAAAACATTACAGTTTTCCTTAGATAAAGTACATAGTTCCACAAAACTGAGTATTCAATTTGACTGTGGGATCAAATGAGACCAACGATTCGTTCAACCGATTACGAATGGAAATTGGAATAAACATTATAAAGTCTTATACTTTCATCATAAATTAGATTTTCACTCAACGGAATTTGATTTTGCCACGCATTGCTGCATCAATGGCAAGCCAGTCAAACAAGTCGGAGTTATTTCCAGTGTTGCGTAGATAGGCCTCAGATCGATCTTTGTGTTGTTAGCGCAGGGCAGTTTAATATTTCACCGTGTATTAAAAGCACTGAGCATCCAGTGTACTGCGTGTGAGTGGCAACCGCGCGGTCGTAATGATGCGGGCGCGGGTGGTGGCCTTAAGGTAATGCAATGCAACGCAAGTGCAGTTAATGACAGTTCATTAACTTATTTGCCATTATTAAGAACAAAATTACGCATGTTGTGGGTAGGCGTGTCGATTCCATCGAGTATATAACCAGAAATAGAGACGTAAAAGAGTAGCCACCATTCTCCCTATGTTAACAATCGATAAAGAGTGTATTAGGGATAATATACGATCGCCGAGTTATTAAATAAAGTTAGTGAAAGCAAAACGAAGTTACTACGCATCGCCATTAAAATTAAACCGATGACAAATGCCGCCATGACCTTGAACTACAATCCATTAATATTAGGAGAATAAGTGAATACCATACCCAGGAAATGTTCTATGAAACAAGCCAACGTTTCGAACCCTTTACAGGTCCCATGGTCCAAACTTTGGTTTGTTTGAAAAAACAAAATTAAGTTTATGCAAAAACCTAAGAACTCGACAAATACCATACCCGTTTGTGTGTACTAATCCGTTACGTTATAATTATAGAGTGAAATTATTTTTTAAGTTTATGTTATGGGTTTTTTGTTATTAATTATATGTAACTTTTCTATAATTAAGCTAAGAATATCAACTACCGTGGGCCACACCTACTGTTGGGTCATAATTTTTTTTTTCCGTTGCTAGTCCTACATTTTTCCGTTATTTCTGAAAAAATGTTTCGAATAATTTCAACTATTTGAAATTTTCCCCATAACTTGCCAACATTAGCCACTCCTTAAAATGTACGTATGCTTTTTGTCAAAATTCTTCGTTCAACATCTTACATTACGTCATTTACATTGAAATTTGTTCCTTAAAATAGCGACATTTTATGGCTCAACCTGTGGCCAAGTGTACTACGCTCAGGCGATATCTGTGTTATCAGCGATCGTGTAGGAAATGAGGGACAGGAAATTGACAACTCTGTGATCGAAGTCATTGACAGGCAGTCAATCATGATGTAACAATGACAGCGAGTAGCTTTTTGCACAAAAATCGCTTCACTTTGGCCATCGTGCCTAATCATGGCTTATCACGGCCTAGTCATTGTAAAAACAACTGTGTTTTATTGTGTATCAGATAGCTAGCTATTACTTGGCTTGCAGTTACGTGGCAGTTTGTGATTAAATTAAATAAACCCGGATTTATTTTAACAAACAGAAAAAAAACAATATAATAGAAAAAAGAGAATACAGTTATTATATTAAAGGTCTATTAAAAGAAAGAAAAACGAAACAAAACTGAAGAAAAACAAAACATTATCGATACATTCAAACGCAAAACACAAATAATCTCAGTACAGAGTACTAAAAAAACCGACCTCAAAAGTACGTGGAATTACGACTATTTGCTAATTTTATTGAAATATCCCCTAGTTAGCCACTATACGGGACTAGACACATGAGATAATAAAAATCGGTTCTCACTACTCAAAGTATATTGAGAGAGAAAAACGCCTTGAATTGGAGAATAGCAAAACCAACCATTAAAATAATTGCGCCTTAAGTAAAATTTAGGCGTTACTTATAAAAATGAATGTTCATGCGTGATCAGCCATCCTAAGAGGTGGTTGATTTTCTTCAAAATGAAATGGGACTACTATGGAAGTACCCTCTTTCCAACAAAAAAAGAATCATGAAAATCGGTTCACAAATACTGGAGTTATCGCGTAACATACATACAAAAAAATATCAGTTGAATTGAGGACCTTCTCCTTTTTTTGGAGTTTTTTGGAGTTATCGCGTAACATACATACCAAAAAAAACCAGTCGAATTGAGAACCTTTTTTTTTAGTCGGATAATAATCAATTACAAAACGAGGAATACTCGATATACGGCGTCTTAGTCCACTGAAGGAGTGGACAATCGTTACTCCTTTTTGAACACTTGTCTGGGTCACTTAGATTCGACACATACATTTTCGTTACATAACAAGACCACAGAATAATATTACTCCACGGAAAACACGACCACTCCCGAACGCAGTGAGTTGCCTGTGTGGCTGTGTGCACTGTTGCATTATTTGGGACACACGTTTGAGATACGGATGGTGTTGCATTATTTTGTTTTTAGTTTCCTTGTTGTACCCTATATACATATGTATAATTGTATCAGTTTGCCGGGTTATCTTTTTGTTTTGTGTAAAGTATATTTAGGGGACTGTAGGTTTAGATATTGTTAATTTTAAATATGTATTTTTTTTCTCATGTGTGTGACTGTTTGTACCTCCCACAAGCTATTGAGTCTGATCTGATCTCTGATCTTTGCGAACACATGTGACGGTGTGACCTCCTTACACCATCATCTCATCTCTTTGTATCGCCTCTCTCCTCTTGTATCTTATCATTTTTTTTATTTTACTTGTATTTAAATTTTAAATTTGAATTGTTCCCTCTTCCTTCACTTTCTCATTTTGTTTTCGTACCACGGTCACTCCCAGCTCGACCGCCACAACAGTCAAAGTTGTTAATAAGCTAATCATGTGTAATAATTTATAAGTCTACACCCTTCATGTATCTATTTCTGTAATTCAGTTTCTCGGCCCATTTAGGGGTAAATGCCTTAATAACAAAGTGTAGGGAGTGTTTTATACTGTTATACCTGTTTTTTTACATTTACGTTTATATTGTTACAGCCTTTTTTAAACTTTACTTCTTTAATAAATTTTGTGGACTGGAAGTTTCCCATTTCATTGCCGTGAACTAATTCACGGCTAGTTAAGGTTACAACCCTTTCACACATAGCCGTCGCTGTTATTCTGCTAAAGCTAGTA